TTTCATTCAAAGTCAGTAGATTTTATACACCACATCTATCTTGGTCTGCTCCCTGTAAGTCAGTAGAGAAGGTCCATTAGCATAATAGTGTGGGAATGGGCAGGTACTTTAAAGTAAAGATTTTCTTCTTCTCAGATAACATATTCCCATTTCAGTTTTCTTCTATTGCTTGCAGTTAACCAAGGTAATGTACTGTGAAATGATTAGCAGATGCAACATGTGAGTAAAAACCTTCAGTCATTAGCTCCTTCAAAAATTATGTTGTAGGTGAGCACTAGCATGATTTCCTGCCTTTTTTGCATTAGGGGTAGTATCCATTTTGTTTCGGTGGTAAACTATAAGAGCTCTTCTGCCATCAGTGCACATGAATTAAAGGAAATAAGAACTATATACATGGACTAAAAGGAAAAGAGACACCTAAATCCTTAGAGGCCTATATATCAGCATTTAATTACTCCTTATTCAGGCAAAATTCCTTTTGTAGTCAATGGGAGATTAGACTGAGTAAAGAGTGTAGAATTGGGTGTAAAATTAGCAAGATTTCTGTTACTCTCTGCATTCTCTTCTCACTTATTCCTTGTGTATTATAAATTTCAAGGTAAAATACAGCATAGGTGGCTCTCTCTTTTATATAGAGTCGTTCTGAATTTCACATATATTTTCAGAGGTTTGCTGGTCACACGAAGTAAGGTTACGCAAATGACTACAAATGTCCATGAGGGAGCAGGGACCACTTATAAAACAGAATCTGTATACTCTTCTCAGAAGAATTATGGAAAAATAACCCTGTAGGCGAATAGTAATGCTGGCAACTTGAAATTATTACTGAGATTTTCAAACTTGCCTCAAGAATTTGGACACTCCATTATGATTAAAATTAATGGGAACTGGGCATCAAAAGCTCCTAGACAGCTTTGAAAATCTCAGCGTACATGACAAGTATTTCTTCTTCTTTTCTTCTTTTGTTGTTGTTCATTTATTATTTTTATTTCCTTGCATTTGTAACGATGAAATGAAACTAATCAAAACTTTCAGAAATCTAGACAGGAATCACTGTCCAACTTGGTTAACTTTGAGCCCAAAATTGTTAACAGTGCCATTTTAGAATAAAAAAATATGTGCCAAATCCTGCTGTCCTGACTGATACGACTTTAATCTGAGTGAGGGATACAGCATCCGGTCTTAAATGCTGTTTACTGGCTACTGAAGGTGAAATTTTCAAAAGTACTCAGCATTGCCCTAACTTTGCATTTTTGAAAATCCATCTTAAAGTTCTTACAGCATAGACGTGAACAATTAAACATAATTAATTTGAAATAACTGAGAAAATGTATCTCATATAGGTCAAGTAATATCTTTCCTTTCATGGACTAACATTTTGTATTAATTATTACTGATTAACTAGCTCCTGCTGCATAGAAATTTCTTTCTTGGAGCTGACGGAGTTTAAAAGGTGTTATATAAGGCTCAATCCTGCAATCTTTACTTAAGCAATATTCTCTCAGAAGTCAGTGGGAGTTTTCCCTGGTTGATGGGCACAGGAACATGCCAAAGAAAAAGAGTCTATGCTCAGAAAGAATTTTTCTTTATATTGTGAAGTTAATCCAAATACAAAGTCTGGCACTACATTTAGTAGTGTTGTGCTGCTCCTCTATTTTACTTCGCTATAAGCAATTTCTTTTTATGTGCAAAATCTTTGCTCTCTTTAAAGTCAACAAAGCAAAAAAACCAAAAAACAGGAAAAAACAATTTGTGCTTAAAGTTTCTTGAATTGAAAGTGCTGTAAATTTGCATGCTCTGACATATGCCCTTTAAAATGTGTACATCTACTGTTTTTATTTTCACTTTGCAATACAAATTCTATCCATAATGTTTAAAAATGTTCTATTCCAGTGAAAATATGGCTTTTAACCAAATAAAAATGTACAGCAAACTTGCTCTAAAATCCATCTGTTCTTCATTTTCTTATAATCTATAATCAGGAAATCCATTCATATATGACATATAATTTTTGTGCTTTCTAGTGGGTAGTGGAATGTGATGTTCTGCATACAGTCACATCTAAATTGATAATTCTCCAGGCGGCGTGTAATTTTAAAGTATAGGATGAAGAAAGGTTTAATCTGTATATTAGAAGGCTTCTACAGTTTTTTTTGCTTCTGAATGTAAATTAGACCATTCTCTTTGGTGGATTTATCTGAAGGTAGGACAGCTGCCTCAGAGCAGGCCACAGCTTTGTGAGTAAGAAGGAGGATGCGGTTTAGAGAGCTGGTTTAAATGCAGGCTCTTCTTCTTCTGTAAACCGCATGCACGTATTCATCATTGATTTTCAAATTATGGGTTCCAATATCATTGGTTTAGAGTCCACAGTCTTAAATTCCTGATTCCACATTATGCCAAAAGAAAAACAATTTGGTGGCTGGAAAGAGAAATGGTCATTATATGGCTCCAAAATGCTAGCTGGCATAATATGCCAAGAACAGCAGAAATCTACTGGTAAAGAGAAGATTGCAGTAGTTCTTAAAAATAATTTGATGTTCTAAAAATATAAACCTAAGAAATGTCATCACTGTTCAAAATATTTTATATCAGTAGGTAAATACATATAAAAAACCTGATGTTTTTGAATAGCATAATTTCTAAATGATGGAAAGATATTCCTGATATTAAATTCTTTTCATTAAATAAATTAAATTCTTTCATTGGGTTGATAAAAATCTTTTGTGGAATATTGTACTGTTTTTATTTTAAACATTTCTTTTCTCCAAAAATCAGAAGCAGAAAAAAATCCACTATGGTACATGGCCTTTGCTGGATTATCTCAAAAAGTTTATTATAAAATATTTTTTTTAAAAAAAAACAAGCATACAGTTTTTATGAAACAGCTTCATTTTCACACATGGAACAAATGCTTGTCATATCATATTACAACACATTTCACAAGGCGGTTTTACTTCCTTTTAACAAAATAGCTCCTATATGAAAACCAGTATCAGAGAAAACCTTGCCTACGCTTCAGCTTCTTCTGTAGATCACTTCACCACACTTCTGAACAGTTTTTTTAATGCTGCTGCTGCTGCTTTTTTTTGCAATTACCAAGCTAATTTTCCATTTGATTGTTTGTTTAAACCAGATCTCACATGAGTAAAGCATATGTTGTGTTTGTCAAACTGAACTTCATCTTAAGAAAAAAGCACTGCATAGCTTCTAGAAAAATACCATCCTTAAAATGTCCTTCTTTCAATCACCATCGCTCTAATAACCCATAGCATTAATTAAGGCTAAAAATGTAGCAAATACACATTCAAAATAATTGTTCATTAAAAAAACCTGTATGATACTAAATGAAAAATTCTTGCAAGTGCTCTGTTACTTCAGTTTTGATCAGCGTAAAATCCACTTTTTAATTAATACATATTTTATCTTGCTACCTGTAGGATGCTGTTGAGAAAAGAAACAGCCAACTTAACTATGAACAGGACTTTTTAAAATGTTAAATATATCCAAAGTCATTCTGATCCTTTAAAGTCTTTATCTTAATTTTTTCCATCAAGTTTCCAGAAGAGCATCATACTTGATCTAATGAATACATTTAGCCTTATGTGTTTGCAGATTAATATTATGATTTAATATTCTTAGTTCTCAGACACACTTTAATTACACAAATCAACAAGCTACATTACACCAAGAGGATGCATTCTTTTATTTATTGGTATTCCTGTGGTGCACCCTACAAATTTAGCCTCAAACACACCTGTGCGAGGTACGGCAATCATCCCCATTTTAAAGATGGAGAAACTGAGGCCCATAGCGATTAGATTACTTGTCCATGATCACACAGGAAGTTGGTGTCAGTACTAAGAACAGAACCCAAGTTTTCCAATTTCTAGGTCAGTGCCTTGCTTACAAGCCCATATTGCCTTGTTATTTTTTTGAATGCATATCTCAGTCTGCTAATTCTGAACTAAACATGAGCCCAGAACGGAATATTTTGATTAATATTTGTTTTCTTGATATTCAAATGTGAGAGTTCCCTCTCTGTCTGTATTAAAGATTTAATATTATTCAGTCGGGTTGTACATTGTCTCTACCTCCCTTGGTCCCACAGAGCCAGAATATGGAGAGCATATTACAAAGCCATCTCTTTTCCCAGGCTTTCTCTGCGGGTATGGGAAGAGCGAGGGGGTTTCATGGGTGAGAGGGGAAAGGTCTTGTTTTTCATGGGCTGGGAAGACATTAATTTCATTGCTATTCAAACACTAGTGTTATTTCAGTTATAGATGAGAAACTGCTTCCAAATTAGCACAATTCGAAGCATTTGCCTGTCAGGATTGTTTCAAGGATTTGCGGAAGGCAGGAGGAAAGATATCAGGGGCATTTTCCAAATAAGGACATGCTCCTTCTCCCATTGAATTTATTGTTGACAAGATCAGGTCCTAAAAGTCAGGGGAAGAGAGTAGAAAAGCATTTAAGAGTCTTCCTATTCCTCCCCCGGCTTTTTCTGGAAATTATAGCCTTGCTATACTTGTTCTTTGTCTAAAAACAAAACAAAACCATGAACTGGAAAGGAGTGAGTCAGCCAAGTCAAAATCCTCTTGTATTTGTCCATGAAAGCACAGTACAGTTTTCTCCATTTTTTTCAGCCGTAAGATTGTCTGACTTTTCCTGACTCTTCTTTGTAACAAAAGTTAGGTTTTGGCTGGTCTGAGTGCACAATACTCTACAGTGTATCAGTAGTGTCAGATAATCACATTTTACTTCACTGCATCATTGAAAGGTCAACTGCCATGAGGGAAAGTGTCTCAAAACCAATTGTTCCAAATACCAGATGGATTATATTTTCACACATGGGCACTTGCACTGCACCCACAGTAAGCTTTGTGAGTTTATATGCTGGTTTTGCTAATATCAAGCTTTAATTTTCATGTACAACCTTAGGAAATGTGTTTGAATCCATGCTCCTGTTCTTAACATTTTGTTCTGTTTTTCCAAAAAAACAGGGAATGGGTATGGCAACCCCCGAAATTCACCAGGTCTGCTGGTCTCACCTGGCAACTTGAACAAGAATATGCAAGCAAAATCTCCGCCCCCAATGAATTTGGGAATGAACAACCGTAAACCAGATCTCCGAGTGCTTATTCCACCAGGCAGCAAAAATACAATGCCATCAGTGGTAATGCATTCCTTAGGCATTTCTTCTTTCCCTTCAAACTATGGCTGTTTCTCTGTATAGACTCCTATTCACTTCCATGGGCTTTGGATCAGGCCCTATATTCTGACATTGTCCAGTCCACTCTGGCTGTAGACTGGTTCCATGTCTATTTATGTTTTTTTATGAAGTCATTTTTACTTCCTCCTCTTTTCTATTCAGTTAGAAAAATGGTAAATGTTTTCTGCACACTCTCAACTTCCTGGCACTCCTTCCTAGTGACTGGAGAATCCTTTCCTAGATTTGTTACAAGATTGAACTTAGTCCTATACATGGTCTGCAATTAACAACTTTGGTTTAGCTTCCGTACAACGAGAGCTTCAGCAAATGACAGAATAACCAGAAACAAATGAGTTGGAAATCTGTCATGCTGGAAATAAGGGTCACATTTTATAATGATGAGAAGCAGTAATTATTCCTTAGATGTAGTAAGAAAAAGTGAAAGCATCTAACCTGGGAGCTATGCATCTCCTGTCTGTGTTAACAAAGCTGAAGCAGAGGACTCTGATATAAGATTGAGTCATCAAGTGTTTCATGTTAGTGTCTTTCTATTCCCTACAAAATCTTTCATGAGTGATGTAACATTAAAAGTGAGGATGATTAAAAAAGGATCCTGATAGTGCTGTAAACATATTTTGCCATTATGTAACAGACAAGCTATTAAAACAACTTGCAAGTTGGCTACTTTAGCCTGATGCATTATATATTAACTTTGAATATCAAACTAAAACCCCAGAAATGTGACGCTCTCTACTTAAAAGATGAGGAGTAATAAATACAGTCTCCTATGGAGCTACACTCAAGTAGACCAAGGCTGTGACAAGCTGTCTCCATCAAATGATTTATTCCAAGGACCTTAAAACTGATACTTTCCAAGGGATTCTTTGACTGGTCAGGTCTCTGACACAAGGTGCTACTATACAATCTTTGCAGCCACTGGGGCTGGAGAGAAATAATGAATAGTGAGACAAAGACCTGTGCTGAAAACTGGATAGATTGTCTTCACAATTGAGACAAATATCTCGTTAGGAGGACAAAAAATGGCTTTATGAAATGTTATTTTTGTAGACAGTATTCAAAAATTACTTAACCTGTTATGCCTATCAGATGAAGCTATTCATTTTGCTTGAAAGCTGTCTGCTGATAAATATTTATGTTTACTAATTATTAACACTCCTTTTCTATGCTCTCAGTCTGAGGATGTTGATCTGCTTTTGGTAAGTGGTAGTGATGCTCAGCATAATAATAAAAAAAAACAATTGTTTTGTCTGCTTTTTATATGGACTTAGTGGTTGAAATAAAATTAAGCATTCCCAGTATTATTGATTTCGTATATAACGAATAGGTGAATGAAATTGTTACCTATATTCTTCAACCTCTTCATGTTAAAAAAAAAAAAGCCGTTGAGAAGGACGTTTAGCCACTATTCGTATTTTGCTAGCATGCTAAAAAGTAGACAACTTTTTTTGCAAGTAGCATACCTTATTAGGATTTTTTTAAGTGGTTCTCTGGACATTTTATCCTTTTGCTCCTAGAATTTGAATTCCTTGGTGCAATTTATGCATTGAAATATCCAGTGCCAAAGAATTAAAGACAAATGTATAACTGCTTTGCTAGGTAGTATTTCTGAAGTTTGTTTTACTGTGAGAAAGAATGAAGTAGCCAGAGCACCATCTGCTGGAGAGAGTTTATTATGCAGCATTGCCGCAATATTGCTTACTGAATTAAACATAAAATCCATTATTGCTGATTTTAATAAAATTTTTGCATTTGAATGAAAAGCAAAACAATGGAAGTTGAGTTTACATATTTCATCAGTTTTTCACATGGTCTCTTTTCTACCCACAATAAAGCAATCTTACTTGTCACAAGTTTGGTTTCCTAGGAGATACTGATGTAATGGGTTACTATGGTGACAACTAATCTCTTGAAGGATTGTAAATGATAGGGTTGGCAGAGTTCATAAAAGCCACATGTTAAATGATTAATTTCATGAAATCTGTATTAAGTTGTATCTCATGCACAAAACGTACCCTGAAATCCAATACATTTAATTGATTTAAACCTGTCAATAATTTGTTTATTTTACTTACTTTAAAAGAATCAGAGGATAAATAACTCCCAGTCTGCTCAGTCATTGGCTACCCCAGTGGTTTCCGTAGCAACTCCTACTTTGCCAGGGCAAGGGATGGGAGGATACCCATCAGCCATTTCAACAACATATGGTACCGGTAAGTATCAATGTAAGATGTGAATAGTAGGGGAGAGCAAGATACTGACCTATGCAGTGGGTCAATAGTAATGAAATTCCTTTATGTATGTTGGACCAAAGAGAGGAATTTGTATTCTGTATTACTTTAAGTGATTGAAAGCCTTATTAGCTTACTCTGAGTCTATAAATGACTTGAGACATACAGGGATTCAAGAAGTGACTGCATTGTTATAATGGAAAACTGCTCTATAAAGCCTTCTCCCAAAGACTTTTGCTAAACAGTGTAGCTTAAAAGGGGCACTTCTTTGGTTCACACAGCTAAACATCACAGAAAATCACATCACACCAGTACTGCATCGATTAGATGGATATATAGACTGTATGCCTTTCTGGAAGACACACTGTAGTCAAACACAAGCTCTTGAGCTCAATACAGAGGTAACGGAGAAATTCTGTGGCTTGCACTGTACAGACTAGATGATCTAATGCTCTCTTCTGGCCTTAAAGACTATGAATCTATGACTATTTATGCATGGCAATGATGACTGTTTGGTTCAAGAACATTTCTGGATCTTTATGTCCAGAAATGCCTCCATACATTAGAGGATGTTTTTAGTGCATTATTTGTTCCCAAACTGATTGGTTGACTTAAGAAAAGCTCCAGTTTTGTTAGTGCAATTTAATACCACTGGCATATTGAAGATAAAAAAGCTTATTACATTATGAATGAAAATTTAAATTACGGTTCTTCTTATTGTTTAATTATTTTCCACTTAATTTAGCTATTGTCTGTTCTGTTTTCATATCTAGAATACTCACTGAGTAGTGCAGACTTATCATCTCTCTCTGGGTTTAATACAGCCAGTGCGCTTCATCTTGGTTCAGTAACTGGCTGGCAACAGCAGCACCTACATAACATGCCACCATCTGCCCTCAGTCAATTGGGGTAAGTAATATTCCTTAGATTATCCTATCATTGTATGTTACTTATCACTGGTTTGCATGAGAAACAATGGCTTCCGTAACCCAATTAATCCCAAATCATAAATGAGATAACATATCAACAAAAGTCTACTATGTGTAACAGCTCCACTTTCAAAAGTCAAAACTGGAAAATTGATATCACATCAGAAGCTTGGCAGGTAGCTAAACTACAGTCTTCTGTTTCCTTGCTCTTTCTCAGTGTTGTAGGAAAGCGTACTGTTGTTTATCTAATCCTTTATTTGTCTAAGTGATATTTTGTTTCCAACACAGAAGAACAAAACAGTACACTCATCATTGTGCTTCTTTTGCTTTTTGTCTCCCTTAAGCTTTTTGATTCCATGTAGTTCAGTGCACACTTTTAAAATAAAATTTGCAAATTTTACATATTTTTAAATCACTGATAAATAAGAATAGCATAATGATTTAACCTAGATGAATCCATAACCTTGTCTGATAATCACATACTTCCATCTGTTCAGCTGTGACTTGCAAGTTTCTTTTATTTGAAACTGCTTTATAGAAGTATAACATAATTGTGACTAAGAATCTGACAGCAGATAAACCTAATTTTGGTTTGCCTGTATCTAAGAGAATATGTATTCGTGCCCTCTAGTGGCACTTTCAAGATATTTCTCCAGTAGATGTGAAGCCTACAATAAAACAGTCCTATATGGTTTAAATATTTTAAAAATATGAAATTCACAAGAGAAAAACAACCTAATTCATTTAACAAACAAACAAAACTATTGGCTAATTGAAATAAACTTTAAGGGCCTGATTTTCAGAGATGCTGAACTCCTACAAATCCTAGTGAGCCAAGTCCTAGGTGTATGCTGGCACTGCAAACATTATAGCTAAAGATATGGCCAGACATGCTTGAATTGAAAGTTGTTCATTGAGAAAAGTACAAATTAAAAGTGACTGAATATATCAACTAGTAAAGTTTTAGTTCACTAGCATTTGAAAGTATTAAATCAACCTTTTTCAAAAAAGACAAATGTTACACATAAGCTTTAATTTTTTTGCCAGACTGCTGCCATAATCTGAAAGTATTTAATGTTGTAAATGTGGTTTAAACTTCAAAATTCTCTTTGTAAGTTATCTGACCTCTTGTGCGCCATTGGCTTGGGTTTTTAGAGGAATAACTAAACAAAGGTTTAGAAGAAACATATACTTTTTGAATACCTCTTCTATAAAAAAAAGAGTTACATAGTTACAGATATTAACTGCATAAACACATACAACCAAAAATGTGCTGATTTAGAAAAAATAGTCTTAATACGTCTTCATTATTCCTTCCTTATTGCTTTTCTTTTTGAGGCATGTACTGTTTTGGGGCAAACACGTTAACTGTACATCTAGGGATATAAAATCCTAAAGAAACTGAAAACTCACATGTTAGCTATCACCGTATAATGTACTGTAAAGTTGATTGTTTTCATTGGTTTACCATAATAAGACTATTTGGTTAACCAAACAAAGTATAAATTAAATCCTAAACAAACAGCATGCCTTTTTAAATATGTCACACATCATCATATGTTTCTAATTCATATCACAAAAAAGTTAAAAATTAATGGCTGTGCCCAGTGGAACATGTTTTGGGCTGCGGGTTTAAAATTATTTTTTCAATAATTTTCAAGTGAAGTTAGTACTATGAAAACTGTTTCACTGACAGCCCCAGAGGAGTCTTCCACTTATGCAGAAAATAAGCATGATTTCTTTGTTTTATTTTGTGCATTGAGATTTATATACAAAAGCACCTATCCTAAGCTCTGGGTGATTTAACAATTCCTTTAAAATGCACAGTTCAAACACAAATTTATAAGAACAAACCCAGCCCACATGAGCAGAAGAATCAGCTAACGAACTTCAAAAATATGAAGAAATGCCCCACTCTCTGTAAGAACTCTAGGTACCCAAACCCCTCAGCCATTCTCAGAAATTTGAGCAAACAGACTGAAAATGGGGTTGACCTGCCTCCAAATTCCTATATTATACTAGCTGAGGGAGGTGAGTCCCAGGGGATGCAAAGGTAGGGAAAATAGGTTAATATGTTCAGAACTAATACGTTCATTTGGAGGGACTTAAGAGAACAATGAATGTGTGTTTTCTATTAAACAAGCTTTGGGAAAGACCTATGATGTACCTCATACAGGGCAGTTAATAGGGGAGGCATGCAGATTCTCCAGGGGGTCTGTCACCAGTGCCTACAGCAATACAAAGCAGCGCATGTTCCACTCCACATGGCACAGGTACTATTACAACTTGCCCCATGTGGCCTGGGCACCCATGAATCTGTGCTCCCCAGCGGCGGCTGTTTTGGCAGCAGTGTCTGAAAAGGCTCTCAGACGAGTGCAGAAGAACCACTGCTCTTCATCTTGGTCCAGTCACTGCCTGGCAACAATACTAGTGTCCATGTTTCTGAGCAGTGTGGGAGGGATAATTTCAAAGGACATCACAGTAGTACAGACCCCATGTCTGTTCAGTTTTTGGCCTTTTTTTTTTTTACCAGCTCTATAGCTGATAAAAAAAATTACATTTGAAATTTTTCTTACTAAAAAGGGTCAGTTTTTCATGAAAAGGTGTTCCTGTTTTTGACACCTCTCCTCTAAGAACTACCTATTTTAGATTGATCAACAAAAGCCACGAGTTGTTGGTCACTACTGACCTGAAGTGGGTTTGAGCTCTAACCTACAAGTGAAAGGTTCTGTGTCCAGTTGCCAATTTCTTGAGCCACATGACTCCCCTACATGGCATACATTCTTCCTTGTCCATAATTATCAATCTAAGACAGCACATTTTCTCCTTTGAGTCTTAGCTACGAGCAAAAGAATGGGTTTCATAAATAAAAATGCAGACTTAAATACTCAACCACAATATTTATTCAAAAGAATTTTTTATATAGACGCTTATTTATATAACGATGGAAGCGTCTCCAAACCTTTCTCAACTCTATGGAATAAAGGATTGGCTCAGATTCATAAGTTTGCTCCAGGATTCTTGACTAACAGACCAAATAGTTAGTAGTTATAACAGTAAATTCTCAAGGTCTTGGTTAATATCCAGTGCTGAGCCCTAGGTACCCTCACTCACACACATGTACAAATAAAGGTATTCTGTGGCAAGGAGGAAAGCAAAATCAGAGAAAAAGCCCTGGGGGGCGGGGCATGAGAGAAAAGAAAAGGTTATATGGGATGCTCTCCCCTCCCTATATATTGTCATCTTTCCCTCTCCATGAAAATCTGTGTTGTCAAGGGCCATGTGGTCATAGATTCACCAGTAATACCCCAGGCCTCTTCCCACCCTGACTCAAATTCCAACTGGAGGTTAGAACAGATGGAGACCCATACAGAATATACTTCACTGGCGTACAAGGTCAAAGCTCCCTTTGCAGATTCCTTGCATCCTGACATTTCCTAACCCCTGCACAGAAGAGCCATGCTAACTCTACTTCCTAATGAACCTTCCATACCCAAAGGGGGAATCATATTTGCCCCAGCTGATGTACATTGAATAATCTCTGTGTGCCACTCACATTGATTTGAATGTGAATTGAGTTTAATATTTGATATTTCCTTTATTATTAAATGTTTTCTGTGCAATGTATGAAAAAGATGACCACATTAATGTCAGTGTGAGTGGATTATAAGAACATAAGAACAGTCATACTGAGTCAAACCAATGGTCCATCCTATCCCATATCCTGTCCTGTCCAGTGCCAGATGCTCCAGAGGGAATGAACAGGACAATTATCAAGTGATCCATCCCCTCTCATCTAGTCCCAGCTTCTGGAAGTCAGAGTTTAGGGACATCCAATGCATGGGGCTGCATCCTTGACCATCTTCGCCAATAACCTGTGATGGATCTATCCTCAGTAAACTTAGCTAATTCTTTTTGAACCCAGTTAGACTTTAGGCTTCACAGCATTCCCTGTCAATGAGTTCCATGGGTTGACTGCATGTTGTGTGAAGAAGTACTTCTTTGTGTTTGTTTTAAACCTGCTGCCTATTAATTTTATTGGGCAACCCCTGGATCTTGTGTTATGTGAGGGGGTGAACAACACCTTCCTTTTTCACTTTCTCCACGGCCATCACAATTTTATAGACTCTGTCATACGCTCCCTTAGTCTCTTTTCCAAACTGAACCGTCCCCATCTTTTTAATCTCTCCTCATATGGAAGCTATTCCACTCATTTTTGTTACCCTTCTCTGTACTTTTGACAATTTTCATATGTCTTTTTTAGATGGGTCGACCAGAACTGCATGCAGTATTCAAGGTACTATGAATTTATATAGTGGCATTATATTTTCTGCCTTATTATCTGCCCCTTTCGTAATGGTTTCTAACATTCTGTTAGCTTTTTCTGACTGCCACTAGACATTGAGCAGCTGTTTTCAGAGAACTATCCACAATGTCTCCAAGATCTTTGTCTTGAGTGATAACAGCTAACTAAAACCCTATCGTTTTGTGTGTATAGTTGGAATTCTGTTTTTCAATGTGCATTACTTTGCATTTATCAACACAGAAATTCATCTGCAATTGTTTTCACCAGTCACCCAGTTTTGTGAGATCCCTTTGTAATGCTTTGCAGTCAGCTTTGAACTTAACTATCATGAGTAGTTTTGTATTGTCTGCAAACTTTGCCACCTCACTGTTTACTCCTTTTCCTAGATCATTTATGAATATGTTGACAAGCACAGGTTCCAATACAGATCCTTGGGGGACCTCGCTATTTATCTCTCTCCACTGTGAAAACTGACCACTTATTCCTACCCTTTATTTCGTATATTTTAACCAGTTACTAATCCATGAGAGGACCTTCGCTCTTATCCCATGATTGCTTACAAGCCATTGGTGAGGGACCTTGTCAAAGGTTTTCTGAAAGTCCAAGTACCCTATATTGATTGACTCACCCTTGTCCACATGTTTGTTGACACCCTCAAAGAATTCTAATAGATTGGTGAGGCATGATTTCCCTTTACAAAAGCCTTATTGACTCTTTGGCAACATACTATGTTTATCTGTGTGCCTGATAATTTGGCTCTTCACTATAGTTTTAACCAATTTGCTGGTGTTATCTGATGAATAATTGATGTTTAGTAATTGTATAGAATTCTTTAAAATTAAATCATTTTCTTTTGCCCTTTGGATTTTCTACATTAAACCCCATTTATGTTTCAGGGAGGTTGCTGTGTTGTTCAAAAGGCAAAGATAATATTAGCCTGGGTCTGTGTAATGCATTTTATATGATGGTAAACTAAACATTTGTGTAAAATAGACATTGATATTCGCTTCATTAACATGTAAAGGCAAAACCAGGTATTTACCCCATGCAGAATTTGGATTTAATAGTGAAAAGCACCTGTGTCCTACCCTTTTCTAATGAAGAAATCAGATCAGTCCTTCATATAGTTGCAGTCTCCCACCTTGCATTCTAAGTCTTACTCACACTTGCTATGTAGACCCATGCATAGAGGGCTATCCTCACTTCTAATGAATCACATCCGCTTATGACTCACAACATTTTGGCTAATGAAGACTAAAGAGGCACGTTTTCACACTGGTTCCTGAACCTCTGTACACATTAGATGGCAATACTGCCAGCTGTATTTCTCAAGAGTTGCCCTCATCCTACCTGTCTTTCCGAAACTTGCTGCCTATGGAGACTGTAATATATAATATAGTGCAATGTATGTAAAGAGATACAGATCAGTGTGTTTCATCTAATCATGTGAGAAAATTTCACTGATATACTTGCCTTTACCCTGGATTGAAGAAGTATATTCCTGTGTTTTAAAAGAGTCCCAATCTCTAGAGAGCAATATATCAAGGGTCTCTATCACAGGCAGTCCCAAACCAAATCTCCAGGTCCTAACACCCCATATGTTGAGGAATTTCAGATTCAGAGCCAAGTTTTGTATCCACAGCCACCCCTAGTCTAAAATATTTATTGAACTGCCAGCCTACAATCCCAGGCACAGCCCGAACCTCTCCTAAGGGGATACAAGATTAAATCCATAGGAAAATGAAAAAAATCAGGAGTATATTTTTATTTCTTGATGGGTTTTTTTTTGTGAAGGTCTTGGCAAAAGTAGAATATTTCACTGAGTAAGTAGAAATGACCACATCTGAAATTAACAAACCGTTTTCTCCACACATTTAAAACATACTTCCAAAATGCAACAGAGAGCACCCCCTTTGCCTTCAGAATGTATTTGGGAGTGCATGAGGGAAGGAATTGTACACCTCACTGCACTTTTAAAAACATTTGCATCAATGAGCCCTGAAATATGCTTGGGGGAGGGTACAGGGTATGCTTGGCAATTTTTGACAAACTGTTTTAAATGAATGCAGGATAGATTAAAGTAATCGTTGTTGGAGCACTTTGTTCTGTCTTTGTTGTCTAACAATAGCCATCCATTATTAAACATTGTGACAATTAGTGATAAAAGCGTTTGATATAATTTCAGGAGAGAAGCCAAATCGTTTCAAGTATAAATCTGCCAAAATGAGACAGAATACTGTTTTGCCTTTCACTGGAGTTATAGTAGATGTTGCATAAGTAAAATCCCTCCAAATATTCCCTCACTCTTAAAACCCATGAAATTATCTGTTGGGGACTCTAACTTCAGCCTGATTCGTGGTTCTAAACTGGAACCATGCCTCAGAATATAATAACAATAAGAAAGATACGTTTGAGATATGTATAATAAAAAAAGGAAATTCAGTTTTGGCCAGTAGGTGGTGCTTTTGTACAAAACATTCGTCAAAGGCAAGTGGTATCATTCCTCCCTTATTTTAGAATAATGAACATTTTTCCTATTTCTCTCGCTCCCACACATTACAGCTTCCCACTGCCTCTAACCTGTGCACACAAATATGCAAACAAAAAATCAAGTTAGAATAAGCATTTAGCATATTTTCTTTTTCCTTTTTTAACAATAACATAGTGAGAACTATAGCTTTTGTTGGTATTTATAACACTCTTTGTTTGAGTTGGGTGTGCCCACATGCAAAGCAATATATTCCCCTGACATCTTCAATTACATTTCAACTAAAAGTCTCTGGTATCTTATTGATTAAAAGACACAAATAATATTTTGAATTTAGGATTCTTAAATCTGTAGCATAGATTAATATGTCAAATCCTAATCTGCCTAGGATATTTTTTCAATATTAATCCCTTTCAAGGTTCAGCTAATTTGAAGTCTTTTCATTTTTGAAGTTCAAAAACTTACACAGTCTGCATTATCTTGTACATTGCTACTCATCAGTGTGACTGATGGTAACAATACTTCTAAAGGAAAAGGAGTACTTGTGGCACCTGAGAGACTAACAAATTTATTTGAGCATAAACTTTCGTGAGCTACAGCCCACTTCATCGGATGCATGCAGTGTAAAATACAGTGGGGAGATTCTATATACACAGAGAACATGGGTGTTACCATACACACTGTAACGAGAGTGATCAGGTAGGTGAGCTATTACCAGCAAGAGAGAAAAAAAACCTTTTGTGGTGATAATCAAGGTGGGCCATTTCCAGCAGTTGACAAGAACGTGTGAGGAACAGTGGGGGGCAAGAAATAAACATGGGAAATAGTTTTACTTTGTGTAATGACACATCCACTCCCAGTCTTTATTCAAGCCTAATGTAATGGTGTCCAGTTTGCAAATTAATTCCAATTCAGCGGTCTCTCGTTGGAGTCTGTTTTTGAAGATTTTTTGTTGAAGAATTGCAACTTTTAGGTCTGTAATCGAGTGACCAGAGAGATTGAAGTGTTCTCCGACTGGTTTTTGAATGTTATAATTCTTGACGTCTGGTTTGTGTCCATTTATTCTTTTACGTAGAGACTGTCCGGTTTGGCCAATGTACATGGCAGAGGGGCATTGCTGGCACATGATGGCATATATCACATTGGTAGATGTGCAGGTGAACGAGCCTCTGATAGTGTGGCTGATGTGATTAGGCCCTATGATGGTGTCCCCTGAATGGATATGTGGACACAGTTGGCAATGGGCTTTGTTGCAAGGATAGGTTCCTGGGTTAGTGTTTTTGTTGTGTGGTGTGTGGTTGCTGGTGAGTATTTGCTTCAGGTTGGGGGGCTGTCTGTAAGCAAGGACTGGCCTGTCTCCCAAGATCTGTGAGAGTGATGGGTCGTCCTTCAGGATAGGTTGTAGATCCTTGATGATGCACTGGACAGGTTTTAGTTGGGAGCTGAAGGTGACGGCTAGTTCTGTTATTTTCTTTGTTGGGCCTGATGTGATTAGGCCCATCACAGGACCATCATCTGGTCACTCGATTACAGACCTAAAAGTTGCAATTCTTCAACAAAAAAACTTCAAAAACAGACTCCAACGAGAGACCACTGAATTGGAATTAATTTGCAAACCGGACACCATTACATTAGGCTTGAATAAAGACTGGGAGTGGATGTGTCATTACACAAAGTAAAACTATTTCCCATGTTTATTTCCTGCCCCCCACTGTTCCTCACATGTTCTTGTCAACTGCTGGAAATGGCCCACCTTGATTGTCACTACAAAAGGTTTTTTTTCTCTCCTGCTGGTAATAGCTCACCTTACCTGATCACTCTCGTTACAGTGTGTATGGTAACACCCATTGTTTCATGTTCTCTATGTATATAGAATCTCCCCACTGTATTTTCCACTACATGCATCCGATGAAGTGGGCTGTAGCTCATGAAAGCTTATGCTCAAATAAATTTGTTAGTCTCTAAGGTGCCACAAGTACTCCAGTTCTTTTTGCAGATACAGACTAACATGGCTGCTACTCTGAAACAGTGCTTCTGTGCATGTGATCTAATCTGATTGATCTCAACAGAAACTCCTTGCTTCCCCTGTCACCACTTGTTCATGCATACACAGATGCATATGGATCAGTAACTGATTAAGACAGGAAACAAATGGTAGGAATAACTGGTCAGTTTTCACAGTGGAGAGAGGTAAACAGTGGGGTCCCCCCAGGATCCGTACTGAGTCCAGTGCTGTTCAACATATTCCTTAATAGGAAAAGGGGTGTACGGTGAGGTGGCAAAATTTGCAGATGATACAAAACTACTCAAGACAGTTAAGTCCAAAGCTGACTGCGAAGAGTTACAAAGAGATCACACAAAACAGTGACTGGGCAACAAAATGGCAGATGAAATTCAGTGTTGATGAATGCAAAAGAAATGCACGTTGGAAAACATAATCCTAACTATACATGCAAAATGATGGCGTTGGAATTAGCTGTTAGCACTCAGAAAGAGATCTTGGAGTCATCATGGAGAGCTCTCTGAAAACGTCTGCTCCATGTGCAGCAGCAGTCCTAAAAGCGAACCGAATAGGAACCATTAAGACAGGGATAGATAATAAGACAGAAAATATTGTAATGCCTCTATATAAATCCATTTCATTCCCACACCTTCAATACTGCATGCAGTTCTGGTCGACCCATCTCAAAAAAGATGTATTATCACTGGGAAAAGTACAGAGACGAGCACCAAAAATTAGCTTCCACCTGAGAAGAGATTAAAAAAACTGGGACTGTGCATCTTAGAAGAGAGACGACTAAGGGGGGACATGATGGACATCTATAAAATCCTGACTGGTGTGGAGAAAGTGAATGGGAAAGTGTTATTTACCCCTTCATATAACAAGAACTAGGGAACATCCAATGAAATTAATAGGCAACAGGTTTAAAACAAACATAAAGAAGTACTTCTTCACACAATGCACAGTGAATCTGTGGAACTTGTTAACGGGATGTTGTGAAGGCCAGAATATAATTGGGTTCAAAAAAGAATTAGCTAAATCCATGGAGGATAGGTCCATCAATGGTGATTAGCCAAGATGGGCAGAGATGCAACCCCATGCTCTGGGTATCCCTAAACCTTTGTCTGACAGACACTGGGACTGGATGACGAGACGGATCACTCGATAATTGCCCTGTTCTGTTAATTCCCTCTGAAGCGTCTGGCACTGGCCACTGCCATAAGACAGGACACTTGGCTAGTGGACCATTGGTGTGACCCAGTAATGCCATCCTTATGTTCTAATATTCATCAGTTATAAAGAAAACTCTAGTGGCTTCAATAGTGCAACGTCTCAGCATCCAAAATGTATCATAGCACTTACAAAAATATAGAATTTCTTTATAGGGTATACCATAGAGCCATTCAAGAGGGTCATGTCTGTTGTGATGCCTCCCTTGCCTTTCACTGGGTCTTAGTATTTCTTAGAGAATATTCTTCACATTCCTGGCATGCACAGTTATCCATAGGAGTCTTTAAACGGACGTTTTGGGCAAGTGTTTGCACGTTTCTGGGGGCTCCGTGCCTCCTCAGCCTGTAACTGGGTTTCCTTTCCTCCCACAGAGCTTGCACTAGCCCTCATGTATCTCAGAGTACAAATCTCTCCCTGCCTTCTACTCAAAGCCTCAGCATCAAGTCAGAACCTGTTTCTCCTCCTAGAGACCGCACCACCACCCCCTCGAGATACCCACAGCACACGCGCCACGAGGCGGGGAGATCTCCTGTTGACAGCTTGAGCAGCTGTAGCAGCTCATATGATGGAAGCGACCGAGAGGATCATCGGAATGAATTCCACTCCCCCATTGGACTCACCAGACCTTCGCCGGACGAAAGGGAAAGCCCCTCTGTCAAGCGCATGCGGCTCTCTGAAGGATGGGCAACATGATAGCGTTATTACCTAATAGGTTTTTTCTTGCAGTGTGTGTGTGCTATACCTTAATGGGGGTGGGGGGGGGGCGGGGTCGATATGCATTATATGTGCCGTGTGTGGAAAAAAAAAAAGTCAGGTACTCTGTTTTGTAAAAGTACTTTTAAATTGCCTCAGTGATACAGTATAAGGATAAACAGAAATGCTGAGATAAGCTTAGCACTTGAGTTGTACAACAGAACACTTGTACAAAATAGATTTTAAGGCTAACTTCTTTTCACTGTTGTGCTCCCTTGCAAAATGTATGTTACAATAGATAGTGTCATGTTGCAGGTTCAACGTTATTTACATGTAAATAGAAAAAAGGAAACATTTGCCAGAAAGTGGCAGACTTTACTGAGAGAGAAAGCAGGTGTTATGCAACATATAGAAAATGTACAGATGTTTTGACAGACCCAGCAATGGGTGGCCATGAATAAATGTTAGAAAGAGTCTGGGTCACCTACCATACCTAAAATGCTCACAAACATGCAGGCATATCATTGGAGTATGGCACTCAGTTAAAAGGATCAAAGACATGTAAAAGAGGACCATACTTGTAAAAATGTTCGTTTGAGGGCTAACATATTTAATTTTTAAAATTCTGGGTCTGCATTACGTATTAAATAAAAAATAGAAAAATATGTACATTACATTTTGCTTATTTTCATATTAAAAAGTAAGACAAAGTTTGCAAAGCATTTGTGGCTTTTTGTAGTTTCCTTAAGCCAAAATGTGTGTTTTTTTCCTTGATAGCTTCGCTAATATTTTAAACAGTCCTGAAGAAAACAGAGGACTTTTTGTATAGAAAGCACTACCCTAAGCCATGAAGAACTCCATGCTTTGCTAACCAAGATAACTGTTTTCTCTTTGCAGAAGTTTTGTTTTTGAAATGTGTATTTCTAATTATATAAAATATTAAGAATCTTTTAAAAAAAATCTGTGAAATTAACATGCTTGTGTATAGCTTTCTAATATATATAATAATTATGGTAATAGCAAAAGTTTTTGTTATCTTAATAGTGGGGGGATTATATTTGTGCAGTTGCACATTTAAGTAACTATTTTCTTTTGGTTTTCTTTTACTCTGCATACATTTTACAGATTCAAAGTCAGCTGTCAAAAAACTCATCTGTAAAAGGTTAGAATTTACCCAAGATGTAACACCCCTAAATCATTTTAATACAACATTTACAAACCATTGGGTGAACTGAGATCCATTGTATATACTGATTAGTTCTTTCATGCTGTTTTGTGCATTGTAACAAGTTCAGGGCCCTGATACTACTTATGTCCTGCATATCTTGTAGTTTTCCACAATTAAATGACAAAGTGGCATAACTTGGCCCTTTCTCATAAATTAAATGAAGCTGATATTCTGTCTGCTAGAATTGGATGTGCATCTTTTTAGGCTGCCAGATAACTGAGTGCAGATGAAGAGCTCTACAAGTCGTGGAGAAAGGAGTCAAAAGTGAGGAGTTAGCACAGAAACACAAGTTATAGAGTTTTAGCAATCTTAGAGAGATTTGGGTGGTCGGTAAAAGAAGCATTCAAAAGCAGATTTATCTTGTACAACCAATACTTAGCCAACAGGTCACCATAATTCTCACACATTGTCGCACAGAGGGAATGTTGTTGAACAATGTCTCCTGTGTATTTCACCCAAACAGGTTTTGCATAGGGCATCCACCATTTTCTACTATCATATATTTTTTTCTTTAATTAAAATCACTTAGGCAGAAAGAATACCCCATTCATTTTAGTACCTCTTTGTCCCTCATGTACTATTACAGGAAAATGGTGGAATACAGGATTTTTAGTTCAGCATTTATGTTGGGTGGGATTTGTTGGCTTTATTTTTTTTTTTTTTTTGCGCAATTCCCCTTTAAGATTTTAGTGCCATCATACAACTGATAATGTTTCTTCTTTTCAAGAGTAATTCTGTCTCCCACTTAGATGCATTGACACAGTAAGGAATCGAGCTGCAATAGCTGTCTAAGTATCAACATGGAGAGGTTATGTTACGGGAAACATACCCTCTATTTCCCATCTGTACATGCAGTTGCTGTGCACCGCTCATTGATAAAGTCTACCTCTCTGTGGTAGCAAATGGTGTATAGTGTACATTGTGCATTATGACTTGGGCTCTTCCTTTATATGCAACCTGACTACAAGTGCACACTTGGTCATGCAAAGGCTAGTGCATTGCTACGTATTTTGCATGCTCTCTAAGCAGAACAACATGTTGCTGTTGCATCCATCCTATCTCATAGAGCAATCTGTGGGATCAGAGTAAAGATATGTGTGCATAACAAAAAGTGAGACTAGTGCCCATAATCAGTTTTTTAAAACACAAAACTCTTTTTCAAAATACATTTCCTCACCTTAAAATGAATCTATTCTCATATTCTCAGTCTGAGATTTTTAAAGTTTAATGTGTCTAAAATATGCAAATATATCACAAATGTATCTTGCCATTTAAAAAAACTTAGGTTTATCAGTATTGTTAGTAGTAACTTGTCAATGGGGGCAGGGGAGTCAGTCTATTGAAATATGAAGAATAGCCATATTAATAGTTTATCTTACAATTTGCCTCAGCAGCACAAGAAAAAGGAAATTTGAGATTCTAAGACAGTAGTGGTATAACATACATTACCTTAAGTCACTAGCAGAAAGTAGCATGAAAGGTATTGCCATGGCAATTTTTAGTAATTCTAACCATGGTTTTATACAAACAAACACAAATCAAATCACATGAATACGGATGCCAGTCGTCCCTTTTGTTCCTGCTACTGAGCTCAACGAAAGTGTAGTGGCAAGATAGTGTGGGATAATACATATTTGTAAACTGATCTAATTAAAAGAAGCACAACTTTGATTGTGAAGTAACTTTCTGTAAACTATAACTGTCTACTTTTACCTGTTCCTTTATCTGTAACTTACCATGTATTGTGTTTGCAAAGGTAATTTGGGTTTATCGTGTGATTCCTTTGTATTTAAGGAGTTTGGGGCAGAGCCCTAAAAGAGTATTAACATTTACTTTACATTAATCCATGGTATATAATGTTTTAGGCAACATTCTTAATTGCAAGTTCAAATACCTTAAGTGGCATTTAGTACATCTTCAAATATTGTTGTATCTAAACTAATCCTTCTCTAAAAAGGTGTTTTCAGTTAGCCCAATTGCTGGCAACAATGATATGATATACACAGTTGCACAATCTGTATATTGTATGCATTGTTGCCTTTCACAATGGAGCTTTTATCATTTCACTGTTTTTCACAAGTTGTGTTTTATAACAAAATGGCTTATATTTTTCCCAAAAGTGGAATTTAATGTTTTTTAATGAATAATATAAAAATATTTGTTGATCTCAGATCTTTTTCAGGTAAAGCTAAAGTAAGAATAAAACAACTCAATATACTGTTTTCAAGAATGTCAATCCTTTTGTATTGTATGTATTATCCTATATACCCATCTTTTAACTATAGACGTACCAATGCTATTTTGTTTTCTTTTTCCTCTTCTTCTCTTAGAAAGTAAATGCTTTGTAATTTTTTAAAAGCCACTTGAAACCTCAATAAAGGCTGTTGCCTAAACATGGCATACTTCATCTGTTCCTGTTTATGCCATCTGCTGTGATGTCGTCACTTATATGGCATTAATTTCCTGCCACTACAGAGCTCTTGAAGGACTGATGGAACATTGGTGTCTGTTAGAATGCTTCAGACTGTAGATGTAATCAAAGGCTTTTGTTAATATATTTTAACCAAAGATGTGGAGCAATCCAAGCTTTGAGCCACGCCGTCTGCTCAAAATTCTCCATTTGATTATTTTTGTAATCAGGTGTTGCATTTTCCCTTCCCTGCTCATACCTCAGACTGATCCATACCTCAGTTTGATTCAAAGAGGTCAGTTCAACGACAAATAAAAAATGCAGTACCTGTGTCCTTTGTGGAATAAATAATGTAAAACCTGAGTTACCTTAGGCATTATACTTGGATTGCTTCAGATGGTTTGTTGTATCCTTTTTGTTTCCTGCTTCTTCTTCTTCTTTTTCTGGGGAGTTGTTTCCATTAAACAATGGTAATTAAAAAGTAAGCTTGTAAATGGGGGGCATATACAAGCATTTGCAACAAGTATTAAAATAGAGGCTCACAGCGGCATAAGCTGGACTTTGTCGCCACTAGATGACAAGATGTTATAACTAAGTTAAACCACATCTGTGTATCTCAAGGGACTTAATTCAGCTGTCTGTAGTGAACAAAAATGGGAAAATTTCACAAGTTTCTCCTGCTGGAAATAAGGTATAATTTGTATTTTGCAGACAAATCAGTAAAGTTACTGGCTTTCTTAGTGATACAGTGTCTGTGGTGCATTTTTTATTGATTACATGTTTTGTTGTTTAATTATATGCCATTGTAGCACTTTTAAAAATAACACTGCAACAAACAATTGCAACTGTTGTCAGTGTTTTCTATATCTGATTCCTAAATGGGGTAAAATGTTAATTACAAATGTATATGCTTATAGGGGCCTCTTCACCACAGTATCTTGGGGCCTCACGAATGTTAATGAATTTATCTTCACAGCATCCCTGTGAGGCAGGGAAATTATCATCGCTGCCTTTACAGACAGGAATCTGAAGCAGAGAGCTTACAAACCAGACTCTGATACCTGTACTCATTTGGGGTGAAATCCTGTGCCATTGAAGTCAGCATGACCTGGATTTCACCCACTGGGTATAGTTCCTTACTCTGCATTGGTCCTTTTGATTTCAATGGAACCACTCATGGAGTTGGTGCTATTTAGTGTGTATAAGCTTATCTGAATTTGGCCCCCAAAATGACTTGCCCAAGATCAAATCACTCAGGTCTCTTGAGTGCTAGCCCAGTGTTTTAACTACAAGACTATCCTCGACATGAAGTGCACTTTTTTTTTTTTGCTTAACATATTGCTTGGGTGACATTCTTTTAACAGTTGTGGCAGGCGAAAGGAAGAGTAACTTATTTATTGCTGCGGGCCCCTTTTCGCAGTACACTTATGATTTTGGAGCCTGTGAATAGAAACCTCAGTTTCTTTCAGCAAGTCATACTTTAGTGTTAGAGACAGACAAATTATTAATAGTTTAAGGTGCTTGGTGAACGTGACAATTTCAAAAATAACATTAGAAGACCTAGATTCTAAATATATTGGTGAAAGAAAACAGCCATGCCGTTAATTACCATTACATTTAGTCAGCTGCCCCCACACTCCCACGCACAGTGTGTAGGACTTGCTCAGTGACTGCCTCCAGGAGCTGCACCGGGGAGCCAGCCAGGCTAAGAGCAGCAGCAAGCCCATGTGAAGAATTCTGGGGCTGCCCATGCATTAAGTGACACAATTGCTTTATTAACAGAAATGTTTCTAGTGTTGGTGAGTTTGGCCCCAACATAAACCATTAGGTGCTAAAGTTCAAGGGCATTATTTGTGTTGTATCATGTGCATGTGTGTTGCTCATGCTCAACTAAAGCACTACTTTACCTGCAGGGCTAACTAGACTTCTGCACATTTCCTCTGGGCATGTAACGGTATGTGTAATATTTTTCTGATCTTTGGACAGAGAGGTCAGATTTATGACCTCTTTCTCCTGTTGTCAGCTTCCTATACATTTGATTGGTAGTGAAATATTATCAATGGATAGAGAAGAAAGAAGGCTGTTAGTTAAAAAACAGATTTCTTTTTTTTTTTCACCCCAAGAGTACAAAAACTCTGATTCACTTGCTTTAACTTTCAGGGATTAAAAAAATAAGATTATAAAATCTGCATCTTGAGAAGGAATTAGAAAAATCATTTTACTCCTCTTACTAAGCCCCCTCATCTTAAATTCGCAGTGGAACCGTGCCTTTGCATTACAACTCCGAAGTAAAGTGTACGGAATAACTAAACCTCTCACCTTTAACATCGAAGCACTCATCACTCAGGTTTTTTCAGTAGCACCCATCATCACAGCATCTAAGTGCAGTTCTGGCTAGCACTATTTGCCTCACAATACATACCTAGAAAAGTTAAATCGTATCAAGTTCATATAAACTGCAGAAAATAATCTCTGTACCATTCCTGGCAATGTTTTGCATTTACATCTTGTTTTTCATCCTTAAGAATCTTAAAGCATGCTACAAAAAAGAAATTAGCCTAGTCCTAAAGTTCTAGTCCCATTGGCTCTCCAAGAAGCACAGTGGAAGTCACAAAAATTTACCTCTAGGGATGAACATGGCAGCTGTTTAACAGTGCATAGAGCTGTACATAATATTGTAAGGCAGGAAATGATGAAGATGACTCTAGCTGATCGATGTTGCAAGGTGAATAAGGTAGTTACAATGTAATTACTCACACTGGAGTTAGACCAGGACTAATGAACTTTTTCTTGCAAGGATTATTGAATCGCTAATGACCACAAGTTATTTAAGTTCCCAGGAGCTTGGTTTTACATCTGTCACAAAACTCTCCCTGCTCAACGCTCACCAGACCACAGTGTCTGGGTCCAATCATGCTAGACCTGTGTGCTTTTAGGATATGTCTACACTGCAGTTAGACGCCCTCAGCTGGCCTGTTCCAGTTGACTTGGTCTCACATGCCTTGGCTCACGGCCTGTTTAATTGCAGTGTAGACTGGACTTGGGCTGGAGCATTGGCTCTAGGACCCTGCCAGATGGGAGGGTTCCGGAGCTGGGCTGCAGCCCGAGCGTGGATGTCTACACTGCAATTAAACAGCCCCAAGGCCTGAGCCCAATGAGCATGGGTACTATAGGCTGGGGGAGGCTGTGCTTCCACAAACAGCCAGGCATGGCCCCACCCTTGCCCTGCCCCTTACCCGAGGCCATGCCCCTGTCCTGCTCCTTCTCCAAAGCCCTGCCCCCATTCACTCCATCCCCTCTCCCTCCCTTGCTCACTCTCTCACAACCTCACTCACTTTCACCGGGCTGGGGCAGGGGTGGAGACGAGAGGTTCTGAGTGTGGGAGCAGACTCTGGGCTGAGCCTGGGGCAGGGGTTGGGGTGCAGGGTGCAGGTTCTGGGAGGCAGTTTGGGTGTGGGAGGGAGATCAGGGCTGGGGCAGGGGCTTGGGGTGTGGGAGGGAGTTTGGTGTGTGGGCTCCAGCCAGGCGGCACTTACCTTGGTTGGCTCCCAGAAGCAACTGGCACATCTCTCTGGCTCCTAGGTACGGGGGGAGCCTGGCGGTTCTGTGGGCTGCCCCTGCCTGCAGGCACCACCCCCCGCATACGCGCTGAGTTTCTAATCTGCCTGGGGGTGCTCCCTGCCCCCACTCCACCCCTTCCCCCAATGCCCCACCCCTACCCTACAAATCCCCCACCAACTCTTTTTTTGTGTCGGGACCCCTACAATTACACCACCATGAAATTTAGATTTAAATAACTGAAATCATGAAATTTACTATTTTTAAAATCCTAGGACCATGAAATTGACAAAAATGGACTGTGTATTTGGTAGGACCCTAGACACAAGAATTAAACAGTTCATAAAATCAAACTGGAATGCATAAGTTGTACTTAGATTCCCCCAGATCATCACAACGTCTCCTCCAGAAGATGGCATTTCTAATTGTAACGCTGACAGACCCCAGTCGTCGACGGGCGGGATCGAACCTAGGACCTCTGGAGATTAAAGCATGAGCCTCTACCACATGAGCTAAAAGCCAACAGCCTATAGAGCAGATTCATTTAACTCTCTAAGTGGTCTTGGTGTCACTAGAGGAGACAGAACACCACACCCAGAAGGTGTGTGGGTTACATACTTCCCCTAGCTGAGGAAGCATGTCCCAAGCTTCAGAGATGTCTCACTTGAAATCCTGGATGAGACCCCACTTGTAACACCAACAGACCCAGGTTGTCACTGGGCAGGATTGAACCGGGGGCCTCTGGAACTTAGTTAACAGCAACTTGGCTTTCAGCTCATGCTTTAGAGACTCATGCACTAAGGCTGTAGAGCAGACTCATTTTAACTCTCTCTTTAAATGGTCTCAGTGCCACTAGATGGGACAGAACACCACACCCAGGAGGTGTGTGGGTTACATAAGCAGAACAGCACTTTCCAACACTGCTGGGATGTTGGCTCAGCACTGACTCATAAGGAAGAGTGCAAACCAGTGATTCGTCATCATCTCGTCTTGCAGGCCTCGTGTTTTCCTTGGTTTCCTCCCATCCACACCCAATGCTGCTTAGTGTATGAGATCTGATCAAGATTGTTGCCTGACATTCAGCAGGTATTATAGGGGTGGCGGCGAGGTGGGTCAATTCTTTCTAATAACTATTTTAAAATAGTAGGCCACACTCTGCCCTGAAATGAATGGGGTTACATGAGGTATAAGAAAGGGCAGAATTTGGTCCAGACTATAAAATGGAAAATGGATTGAATAAACCATTCAGCATCAAGATAGGTGTAAGGCAGGGGTGCGTCCTGTCTCCTTTTTTGTTTATGCTAGTCATCGACCATGAATTAAAACAGTGCAACAGTAATACATATGGTCTAAAATGGAACAATTCAAGGCTATATTTGATCTAGATTTTGCTGATGGCATCGCTGTTATCAATGAAGATGTCAGTGGACTACAAAAATGCACAAACCAAGTAAAAGAAGTAATGGAGAAGATAGGTTTGAGATACAATGCAAAGAAATGTAAAGTCATGTTAATAGGGACTACAGGGACAGAAATCAAAATTGAAGAGGAGAAACTGGAGAAGGTGGACAATTTTATGTACCTTGGAAATACCATCAGCCAAGATGGTACTAGTTCTGAGGAAATAAAAAGAAGAATCGGGAAGGCAAACGCTGCATTTGGAAGAACCAAAAAAATCTGGCAACTCAAAAACTATCTCCCTCAAGACAAAACTGAATGTGTACAAAGCAATTGTTATCATCATCACAACACATAGCAGTGAGACTTGGCAACTTACCAAGAAAGAGATGCAAAAGCTGGATGCATTTCATCACAAATGTCTGAGAAGAATATTGGGAATAACATATAGAGATAGGAAGACAAATTAAGAAGTCAGAAAAATGACTGGACAAGGCACCCTCTCACAAATAATCTACAAAAGAAGACATCAGTGGCTGGGACATGTGCTGAGAATGAAAAAAGAACACTTACCAAGTATCGCTCTTGAATGGAAGCCAGAAAACGCAAAAGAAAGAGAGGAAGACCGCGAATAACATGGAAATGAACAGTTCTGAACGACATCAAGCATCTCAACATGAAATGGGAAGATTTGGAGAGAAGGGCAGTTGACAGACAAAGATGGCAAATATTGGTAGCCCAATGTGCAGCAAAACATGGAATGGACTAAGGTCTAAGTCTAAGGTAAT